TCCGATTAATTTCTTTCTATTTTTAGTAAAGACGGGGTCTCACTCTTGCTCAGGCTGGTTTCGAACTCCTGATCTCAAACAATCTGCCCGCCTTGGCCTCCCAGAGTGCTAGAATTACAGGCGTGAGCCACCATGCCCGGCCCATTCCATTTTTATGTACTTATAAACCTGAACTTTATGTAGCTTAAGTTTCTATAAATTTCAAATATTTACTATATGACCATATTATGATGGTACTCCATCAGCATATATGGAGAAGATTAAGGCAAAAAGAAGTAGTTAGTTAAAATCATAATATCATAGCAATTGATAGCAATCAGCCATAAGTCGAAAAGGCCATATTTCATTTCCCACTAGGTATATGAAAATACAAGTTGTCCAAAATTATATTGTATAATATTTTAAAGTCTATGGTTTTGAGCCATTCATGTGACCAGACAGATTTATAGTAACATTTCATCCACAAGTACATCATCTTAGTCATGAATCAAATTCATTTCATTTATTCCATTTCAACATATTCAAGAAGAAAGTCTTGAAATGTTGATTTCCTTGATTTCCTGGTAATTCAAGAACTGAGAAAAACATGGTATAAGTGGCTTTCTTACTCATCTCAAATAACAATATTTTTTACCTTTTATGTCCTGCTTTTCAATGATTGCAATTTATGTGATTTAACTGTGTACGTTTCTTAGGTAAAAGTATCGGGAAGATATCAGAAGGAGTAAATCTTACTCAAAAGAATCACCCAGTAGAGGTACTTGAGCCAGGAGCTGAACATATAGTTCGCCTAATGACTAAGAATTGGGCTGATAATGATAGCATTTTTCAAGATGTAATTGAGACAAGAGGGAGAGGTGAGAAACGAGATTATATTTGGGGCAGTCTTAGACAGTAAATCCGTGTCCTGTAGATCATTCAATGTTACATACATCCTATACTGAAGATAAAAATATGAAGTACATTAGCTATAAAAAATCATAATTTCAATTTTTTCGGGCATAACATTTTAAAATTATCAAAATGAAAAATGTTCCACGATGGTCCAAATTTTCCCTGATTGTTTATATCAGAGTTGCTGCCTAAAAATATCTCCTGCTAATTAACACATGTTAATAACACAAACTAAAAGGAAAAGAAAAATGAAACAGAACAAAACCCGCTGAGGCTCCATGGTTCTGCTTATAACCAAGGCGGCTTGTGCTTTGCTTCCTTCCTGCTGCTTCTGCATTTAACGTCATTTACCTTCACTGTCCTTCCTTGGTTTTCCTTCTCTGAATCAAATCCAATTTCAAAAGGCCCTTTCTAAATAAAGGAAAGATTTGTCAGTGTTCCCCCATTGAACTGTCCTTCAAGTCACATTCCCTCTGGGGTCACTCAAAAGAAAAGTAAAATTGGTTGTATCTTGTATGTTTAAAAAGGATGTCTGATTTTCTCGAAAGTTGCATAATAGCAAAGACTGTTTCTCGTGTTCAGTGTTGTGACTTTTCTTTATACAACAGAATATGCTGGTTTATATGATGACATCTCCACTCAAGGCTGGTTTATTGGCTTGATGTGTGCGATTGCTCTTCTCACACTAATATTGCTAACTGTTTGCTTTGTGAAGAGGAACAGAGGTGGAAAGTACTCAGGTAAAACTGTTTCTTAAAGGGATTTTCAACTTATTAAATTGTATTTTCTGGGAGGCATTCATCAGAGACATTTTTTTTTTTTAATTACACATTTCATTCAGATTTCTATTAGCAAATTACATATACAATTTACTAAGAGAGAAAACATTGCTAAATTAACAAACCAAAGGGAATATCTATGGTCTGGAATATTGTTT